ATCTTGTGAGCTGCGATCGTGAATACACACTTCTGAAAAGTCTCACAATAAGAAAAAATTGCCATCCAGTGCTTCCATGTATTTCATGATGATCTAGCTTCAATTGACTCATGATCTCAACTATTAAAATTAATAAAAATAAACAGTTATCCATAGAGGAGTATAGTGTAGCAGCAGTCTCTGCATCAGTAGGCCTCAACATATACAATGGGAAAACCAAGGTCCTCAAATACAACACGGAGAACACAAACCCGATCACACTCAATAGAGAAACTCTGGAAGATGTGGGATCATTCACGTACCCGGTCAGTATCATCCACGAACAAGGAGGATCAGATGCAAACGGAAAGGCGAAGATTGGCAAAGCACGGGAAGCATTCCTTCAACTGAAGAACACATGAAACTCAAAATAACTGTCAACCAATATCAAAGTTCTAATCTCCAATGTGAACGTCAAGCCAATTAGTTCCACTGTACAGAGCTGAACGTTCGAGAACTACCACAACCATCATCAAGAAGGTACAAGTATTTATAAATAGTTGTCTACGCAATACACTGAACATCCATTGATCAGATACCATCAGTGACAGCCTATTGTGGGCGAGAATAAACTAACTTCCAGTTGAAGAGGAAATTAGGAAAGGACGATGGAAATGGATGGGATATACATTACGGAAATCACCAAACTTCATCACGAGATAAGTACTAATGTGGAATCGTGAAGGGGAGTGGAAAAGAGGAATGCTAAGGAACACGTTACGTTGGGAAATGGAAGTAGATATGAAAAGGATGAATAACAACTGGAGAGGGATGGAGAGAATCGCCCAGGACAGGGTTGGATGGAGAGTGTTTGTGGTCGGTCTATGCTTGTCGACGAGGAGCAACAGGCGTAAGTAAAGTGACTGTGGAGGAGTATAAAAAACAACTGCACTACATAAGTTGAAAGAACAATCCTATGAAAAAAATAGATCAATAAAGATCATATATCATTGAAATTGTTGAAATCTATGTATCACATATGTGAACTAAAGTTGTGAAAATTTGAATTTTCGACTTATGGATAGATTATAGGTTTTGAGATGGTGGATTAAACAATGACAGATTTAAGATCAACAAGAAGCTTGGAACCTGTTGTTGAGAGTTATCTTGAATTGATTGAGTTTGTCAGTATCTCGAAGGAAGGCTGTAGTGAAATTTGTAATGCTGTTTCCCTAGTTGTCCAGTGTTTCTTTAACCTCAATATCATCGTGGCCACAACCACGTGGTGATCTGAATCTATGTCAGCTCCTCTTCTGCTTCTCACGTCTTTCATTGTCCTTCTAAATTTTTTATTGATGCAAATATGTTCTATCTGGTTCTCTGTGGTGTGGTCCGGTGAGGTCCATGTAGCTTCGTGAATACGTTTGTGTGGAAATATTGTGCCCCCTATGACCAATTTGTTGAATGCACATAGATTTGAAAATCTTTCTCCATTTTCGTTTCTCTGTCCCAGTCCATGTCGTCCCATATTATTTTCATATCCGGTGTTGTCTATTCCACTTTGGAGTTTAGATCTCCCATCAGGATGGTGAGGTACTTTCTTGGGCACTTCGCTATGATTGATTGCAGCCTCTCATATAACTTATCTTAATTTTTGTCGTTGCTATCATTGGCGGGTGCAATTGGTCCAATGGGTTTCACCGATTCCCAGTACTGCCAAGTTGTATCTCCTCATTTTTGTTGCTACTTCACTGGTCTTCCCGGTCTCACACATTATACGGACGTTCCATGTACCTATAAAGATTGTTGCACTGGTTGTTAGAAGGGGCATTGGCCTCGTGACTTCCAAAGAATATCGGCTTTCATCCTGAGGTGTCATAATTCTTCCTTCAACTTCCAGATCAAAGTCTAAATGATTTGATTTGTCTAATCCGCTCGGCGTTTTTTAACAAGATTTTCTTCTATGGGATGAGGTTACCGACCCCATGCCCAACACTCCTCCTTCACTAGTGCTTGGGACTGGCAGTAACTCTAGCAGAGCTACAGGTAAAGTTCAAAGTAAGCCAAGGTTACTTTAATTATAACAATAAAACCATACCTCAAATAAACAGATTCATCTTACTAAAATTATACGGGATAATCTGCCATGAATGTATCAGTGTAGCTCAGCCGGACATGGTGAAAGTAAACAAATACGTCAAAGTTTGGGCTTAAATATTTATGAAGTTTACGCAGAAACAATTTGAAAACATTCTGAAATATACTTATAGTACTAACAAATTAAAAGTAGCCCTTAAAAGTCGTGTAAAAATAATATACTTGTTATATTGAGAGCTGAGATTATTAATATACCGAGTACAACTTGAATACTCGAACATTAGAACCCTCCAAATCGCAAATCAGAAAACAGAAGACAATTAAGAAGGAATACTATTCCAAACAGCGTCAAATATAGTACAAAACTCTCAGGTATTCACAGTTGTTTTTTTAGTAAAATTGAAACCATTATAGTCATCCAATCCTCATACAGGAGGTATTTAGCATTTGTCCAATAGGGAAGCTACACGTAAAGATACTGGAGCATTCTTCTAAAAGATGATTCGATAGAATATCTTCGGCTCTTTCTGAACTCTTTAGAGCTTCGTCGAGTTCACCCGTGTGCTGTCCTCACAATAATGCAAGTACACATAAAATCATCGAATATGTAAAAACATTCAATGAATTTTTTGTTTGCCATTTTCAATCCATGTGTAGGCTGAAGCTGTTTTGGATAAGGTTTTGCTTAAATCCTATCATTTATTTCTCGACCATTGTTTCTACCTTGAGGTGGTGGTCACGCTTCCGTATTGTGATGAACTAAACGATCTATACTGACTGGAACAATCGTTCCTCAAGGTTCTACCATGCCAGACAGGTCGGTTGAAGAACGGTAAGACTAAAAGCAGCAAACCCAAAGTCCGAAGGCGAAGTCGTACTACTATTTTTGGTTGTGAATCATCTATCTCTTATAACATGATCCCAGTTTGTGTTTAGTACACCGATCAAGTATCCGGTCTAATAATAATATAATCTCGGTCACCGGTCATATTACCTTATTATGGTAGTAAGCAATGACTAACATTACTGTAATGATATCTGTCAACAGACATAAGTAGTATACACAACAGTTGTATAGGGTATAAGGACGTAATTGACTGATTAGATAAGAGGTAAAACATTCTGTTGAATAATGTTAAAATGATAATAATTAGTTTTAATAACTAATAATTAAGAATAGAAACATGACTATAGTGAACAATGAAAGTTTTATAATTAAATAGAAGTAAAGTCAAATAAACAAGAAGAATTTTAAGTCGTTGAAGATGAGGAGAGAGAAAAAACAAGGAGCAGAAAATTATTAGTTAAATGATCCTCAAATACAACACGAAGTATACCAACCCGATCACAATTGATAGCGAAACTCTGGAAGATGTGGAAAATTTTACGTGTCTGGGAGGCATCATCGTTGAACAGGGAGGATCAGATGCAAACGGAAAGGCGAAGATTGGCAAAGCACGAGTTTCATGTGTTCAACTGAAGAACACATGAAACTCAAAATAACTGTCAACCAATATCAAAGTTCTAATCTCCAATGTGAATGTCAAGCCAATTAATTCCATTGTACAGAGCTGAACGTTCGAGAACTACCACAACCATCATCAAGAAGGTACAAGTATTTATAAATAGTTGTCTACGCAATACACTGAATATCCATTGATCAGATACCATCAGTAACATTTTTTTGTGGGAGAGAATAAACCAACTTTCATTTGAAGAGGAAATTAGGAGAGGACGATAGAAGTTGTTGCTCTGGTTGTTAGAAGGGGCATCGGCCTCGTGGCTTCCGAAGGAACTCGTCTTTCACCATGAGGCGTCATAGTTCTTCTAAATGAAGACCTTTTAACTCCCAGGGCAGAGTTTAAATGAATTGAATTATTTTTTTCTAGTTAGCGTTTTTTTTAGCTAGTTAGTTTTCTACGGGATGGGGTCGCTAACCCCATGCGCAACCCTCCTTCTTTACCCGGGCATGTGACTGGTAGTAACTCTAATAGAGCTACAGGCGGAGTTACTACGAAATAAATTAGTGTTTAAATGTTTACACTGTCCCAATAAATCATGGTTTTTGTTATATTCTAGTGAAGATTCGATTACGAGTAACTTCTGAGATCTAATAATGAATTAATATTACCTATATATTCCTATTATATGACCATTCAGTAACTAGATTGTGTATATCTATATTCCTCTTACTATAAGCTTCATTTTAATTCATAGATTGTTATTATACGATTTACTGCTCATAAGTTATGTTCAGTTTATTAATTACAGTCTTCCATGCTCACAGTCACATTTTGGCTTGATCTTGTATAAATATTATTCCCTATTTTCTGGTTTGATGTGGTCTGTTTGGCTAATATATAAACCAAGTATGTTGAAAACAAATGATTCCCATGGTGGAAGCTGTTACTGGTGTTCTATACTCAATTGGAAAAGCTAGGCAAACAAAAGACCAACAAGGATGTTAGGCTGCCTATACCGATCGAATTTCACTGATTTGGCACAGTACTAAGGTTTGTGTAAGTCATATTTTGATTGACGAATAAATCACATGTTAAAAAGCCTAGTTTTAAAGTCCGCGTGACTATCGTAACCAATGGTTGGAGACTCTTGGTGACATGGCTCAGAATCGATCACAATGGCGTCGGTGTATACACTCCCTGTCTTCCCTTATACTAAGAGACTAAAATCACTTCATATCTTTCTTTCTACGAACTAATTCTTTCTTCCTATACTATATCCTTATTGCAACCTTTGACCTAACCACTCCTATGAATCCGCTGTTCATCTTGCTGTGCTAATGAGGTATGGCAACCTGGACCGATGCACATATGTGCCTGGTCCTACGTTGTAGCTAACTGACATATTCAAGATTATATATTTCAATAAAGATGTTAAGACATTAGAAGACTGCTGAAGTATTACAAACAATAAGTGTATATTTCAGAAACTAAATTACTAAATTACATAGTACTATACAACTAATGATTTGTCAAAAGACATAAAACAAAACTTAAAAAGCTTCTCATAGAATAGATTACATATGTGTCTATTATATCTTTTTAGCAATCTTATAGTATAATGTTGCATTGAATCAAATCCTCTATGGATTTAAATCAAGTTCTGTTAATGAAAATAATGGATTTGTAGTTTCAATAGGTTTAGATTCATTTTCAAGAAACAATTTATCTTCTTGTAAACGTTTTATACGATGATAGAAACAATTTTGAAGAAATTTATGATGTTCATTAGTTGTAAGTGATTTGGATGAATCTAATATTGGATGATGTGGCCAAATATATAATTCTTTATGTAGTTTAACATGTTCTTGTATACGTTTTGTATCAATTAAACGATTTTTAATATATTCAATAGGATTATTAGGTTGTTCAAGCATAAGACCACCAATGATAGATTCCACAATACAAAGTAAGTTAAAATTATCCGCTTTATTTTTCAATGAATAATAAGCGTTGATTTGTGATACCTATAAAATGGATATAGATTTTTGTGACAAAATACTTGAACCATTTGTGTAACGAAAAATGAAACAAAATCAAGACTGATGCTTTTGATCCTGTTTAGGAAATGTTGTTAAATTGTAGGTGAATAGGCTGCTGAGTAATTCTAAAACAAAAAGGATAACAATACAAGATTAGAAAATAATGAGAGGAGAAAAAAAATGGATGAATGTAGGGTTTTTACTGAGCACTAATGGGACGTTTGCTTTCTTTAGAAAGAAGAATTGGAAGATATTATCATGTATACGCTTGGTACACATCCTCCTAGGCACCCAGTCAGAGACTAATTTACCATGCTTTAACTGAATTTAGATGAAGAACACGTTACTCACCGGGATAGCACGTATACCATGACAAATAAATGGTGCAGAAAAAATATATATAACAGATCACATATATCCAGTCATTCATACGTCTGGTATGTTAAAGCTGGAATTCCGTCTTAAGTTCTATGTTTTTCTCTATATGATTAGTGGTTAGAGACTTTCAGCAAATTATCTCAAAATCTTTTGCAATGGCACTCGTACATTCATTCCTTGTCTTTCTCTTGAATTTGAGTGGCAAAATCTTCTTATAGGCCTTTTATCTTTTCTACTAATACTGATACTATTATTACTCATACTATTCTAGGATTCGTCTTAAAATAATGTTACCTCACTGTGCTAGTGTGGTGTGGCAACTTGGAATGATGTATAGATGTATCAAGTCTTACATCGAGTAGACTGGCTGACTGACTGACTTTGTAGGCATCTATATCACAATATGCTTCCACACTTATAAATAAAAATGAAACAGTTATGACGTCTTGTTAATCATTCAGAAAAACAGAAAATTTGATAAGTCGCGTCAATTCATTTAGATTTTCATCAATAATACACCTGTTAACTCATCTTTAATCCATATTTTCTCCAGATGCTCGATTGAGTATTCAAGTACAATTTAATGCCGGATCACAGTCATATTAATGAAATATTTTTAATTCTGGGATTAAGTACATACTTTGTTTTTTACTTCAAATGAATATGATAACCCAAAGTTAAATGATTATACATAAAACTCTTGGAACTTATGCATACATGTTTCTTACTTTCAATGGTACTCTCTTAATCAAATTGTGAATTTACAACTTACTTACGCATATATGTTTGTACAGTTTGATAATTGATCTCAAAAAGATACTGATATTTTAGGCAGATTAGAATTTGGTGGCATTCAAAGTTTTTTTAAATTTATTTGAAAGTGTTAATCCCGAAATATATAATTTTGTAATTAATTAGAACATGAATTCCGCAGAAAATAAATTTATAAGAGAAGTAAAGGTAAACTGCGAAGTGATTGTCGCCTTGAAAATCATCAGTACCGTAAAATGAACCAGGCATTTCCTACAAAATACGTGAGCTCCTGACTAATCGATAAGTCAGTGACACACTTTAAGTTATTCTGTTATGGTTGCTTTTATATTCTGTATTTTAGCTCTGTATACGTGTTGGAAGCGTATTCACTTCATTTATCATATAACATTTGCAATTCTAAAATACCTTTACATTTTGTGAATTTATTGTCTCATTTTTCACTCATCACTTCTGTAATTTGTGGAATTAATTGAGTCAATAGTTAACAGAATTCAATAGTTTTTTTATTCAGTTGAGTGATTTTTACTCATGTCATTCTTATTCCTTATTAAACTGTTTGAGAACTAAGATGAATTGATCTTTACTGTTTTTAAACCACCTGCATGGTTTTGACTTCAATCGGTGAGTCATATGCAATGTAAAGCCAACAAATGTATAGATACAGCATTTCATAACACATTAGCACAACGGAATAAGATTATTAAGAACATGTCTCAAGGTGTTTTAACAACTCGTCGATGATAAATAATCAACGTTTTGAGGAATAAAATAACTCCGTCGTAGTGAAGATGCTCTTGATACAAAATAAACGAAAACTGTAGGTATTTGTATGCTTCAAGCATGATGTTCAGATGGCAAACAATGGAGAAGATAGTTCTTAGGAGAAATAATACATTGGAATGAGGGAGGAAATCAACGGAGCTGGGACATCTAATATCAATATCCAGTTGTAAAGAAGGGACGTACATGTGCCATGCAGCGATGATGATTGACTGTGTGTAATCAACTAGTGATGCAAATCAAATCTGGACGAGGCAAGATTTTTAAGAATTTAGAACCACTGTACTTCGTCACTGCCTTCGTGCCTTTAGATACAGCGAGCTTTGCCAATTCACCCGGCAACAACAATCGAACTGCTGTCTGCACTTCTCGGCTTGAAATTGTCAACTTCTTGATATAGTGAGAGTCGGTTGGCTTCTGTGGCAATGCGCTCAAAGATATCGTTCACAAACGAATTCATGATTGACATTGCTTTCGACGGGATACCAGTGTCAGGACGAACTTGACGAAGAACTTTGTAGATGTTGATAGCATAACTCTCTTTCCTCATGCTCTTCTTCTTCTTATCGACCTTCAGCAGTTTAAACTTAGACGCTTTCTTCGCGGCCTTACCAGACACATTAAGAGGCATCACTTTGTAGACGCATGCAGGACTAACACAAAGCGATTTATTCTGACGAGCAATGCGCCAGTACAAGTACAATTATAAATATCAGCATTTATGACGAATGTTACGTTAGAAATATTTCCGAAGTAACAATGAAATTTTTTTATCCAACAAATTGGATGTATATACGTGTGAAATAAAATATCACTAATCTTCACTTACTATAGTTTTATCAGTTTCAGCTTCAGTTTCAGTTTGGGAAGGACAGGAGGCTCGATGGCCTATGTTAGTCCTGGCAATGGTGGTCTCTCAGTTGATCCGACTTTCTTTTGAAAGAGCCGACGGATGGAGCCTCAACCACGTGCTGAGGTAGTGAATTCCACTCGTTGATGATTCGATGGGAAAGTCGATAGTCAGCTGACAAGTAATTTGTTCTCGGCTTATGAACTTTTTTGGAGTGTCCTCGTAAATTCTCTGTTTTGGAAGACAACAAAAATGAGGGCATGTTAGGTGCAAATTTATCACTAAGCAATTTGTAGACTGTAATCAAGTCGCCTCTAGTTCTGCGATATGACAACGGTAAAAGGTTCAGCTTGGCCAGTCGAGATTCATACGGAAGCTTCGCTATTCCGGGAACCAGCTTAGTCGCCGTTCTCTGAACCTTTTTCAGAAGCTCACTGTCTTTTTTAAAGCAGGGGCTAGCCGCTTGTATGCAGTACTCAAGTTTAGGACGAACGAACACTGTATACAAAGTCAAAAACGTCTTAGCGTCGACATGACTAAAAGCCCTACGTATTGACCATAACGTTCTAAAACTTTTGGCGGCTATTGCACGGCAGTGTGCAGTAGTCTTTAAGTCTTGACTAACGATAACTCTTAAGTCATCATATGTCTGGACGACAGGTAGCTCAGTGTTATTCATCGTGTATATATCTGTGCCTTGATGACCGATATGCATCACAACACACTTGGAAGTATTTATCGGCAATTGCCATGTTTGAGACCATTCAGATAACTTCTTCAGGTAATTTTGAAGTTCTAAGCTATCACTCTTACATCGTATCGTTCTCCATATCTTGACATCGTCAGCATATAGCAAGACCGATGATGATAGGAGACAAGGACGGTCATTCACATACAAGAGGAATAGCACTGGCCCCAAAAATAAAATATCACTAATCTTCACTTACTATAGTTTTATGGCTTATAATATGTTATAATATATATTTACGATACATACATGAATTGAAATATGTTAACATATGTTAACATTAATTTTAATGCAAAGCGATCGCTCTAATCGATCAGATCGGATCTCGATATTTTTTAACCAGCGCGATCAAAGTATTAAGCAACACTATGTACGTTTTGAGAAAGCAGTAGTGAAACCCAAGCTTACTTTGCTACTCTGTCGGAGTAAGCGAATCTAAGTACATAAATCCACCAAAACCAAGATATTATTGTTATTTAAATATTTCTTGAGCTTTATTGTCATAACAACCGTTCAATGAACAATAAGAAATATATAAACAATATTCTCATAATAACCCAAGCTGCCAGCTTTGAGGAAATTTTGGGGATTTCCTCAGGTCTGGGGAAATTTTGAGTTTTTAGTCTCATTTCCCTAAAATTTACTATAGCGGCTTCCCCAAAATGGACCAAATTTTCCTCAAAGTTGGCAGCATGGGAACGTATTACGAATGACTTGATCCTTTCACTAGAGCATGTTGTTGTTGAACGCAATTTTTAAATCTTGATGATAAGTTGACATTAAATCTGAAAATATATTGGTAGTGCAAAGTGAATGAGATAGTTCTAAAGAGGCCACATGTATTATTGATTTGACAATGCCTTTACTCATAGCACATTTAGAATCGAAGTGTTCCAACCTAGTCAAGTCCGAGGTCAGAAACGGAATTCGAAGTTTTATTTGGAAGGTTATCGGTATGTCGATGGAACGCTTAATCTAAACTTGATAACAGTTGAAAACGATGGGTAGCATGACTTATTCATTCGTGATCTGATATGGATGCGTGACCAAGCACCTTCAGCTATATGTGTCCATTAAAACTAATGAGGTCAGAAATTTAAGCTTAACAATCTTGTCATTTGTAGGCACTTCTAATAGCTCTCTATATTCGGCAACATATATTCGTCTTTCATATAAGGAGCCATGTGGTATTATGTAGCAATGAAATGTTTAAAATGCCTATTAATTTAAATTTCATCGGTTCCATATGTCCTGGAAAAAAGGGAACTAAATGAAATTACGATTTGATTTCAGCAGATGATCTGGCTCTTTTATCCCATAAACAATAACAAATGCATGTGAAGACAGACCGTGTAGCAGTCGCCTCTTCATCAGCAGGCCTCTACATAAAAAAAAGAAAAGGCAGGATCCCCAAATACAACGCGGAGAGCAATCGAATCACAATTGGTGGAGAAACTCTTGGAGAGGTGGGATCTTACACGTAGCAAGTCAGAACCGTTGATGGACAAGAAAGATGCGATGTAGACGTGAACGCAAAGATTGGCACAGCAAGGGCAGCATTCCTTCATCTGAAAAATACATAGAACTGAGAACAACTGTCAACCAATATAAAAATCAGAACATTCACTACGAACGTCAGGAAATTTTGTTCTTCTGTACGGAGTTGAAACTTCGAGAACTACCACGACCATTATCAAAAAACATACATGCGTTTATAAATAGTTGTCTGCGCAAGATCCTGAATGTCCTTTGACTATAAACCATTAGAAACAGCCTAATATGGAAGAGAACAAACCAGCTTTCAAATGAAGAGGAACTTAGGAAAAGACGATGGAAATGTATAGGACATACATTACGCAAATCACTAAACCGCATCTTCAAGCAAGTTCTAAAATGGAATCCTGAGTTGAAACGGAGAAGAGCAAGGTTTAGTGGCCCGTGGATCTGGCTCCAATTAGGTCGTATGAATGTTTGTTATCACTTATACTCGTATATTATCATCGACTTAAATCGCGTTATTCAAAAACGGAATTACATAAGTCGAATAACGAGAATAGACTTGTGAATGCATATATTTTGTATATAAGGCAAATGGAATAGAGAGAAGGGAAAGGACGCGAAGTGGAGATGGCTGGTAAGCCAACTCCCATTTAACCAATCGTTAATCAATATTTGTAGTTAAACAAAAGTAAGTTACAGACATGTGATGAGTAACGGGATAAGAAATGTACACACGCCTACGCGCTCATATAAAAACAGTCAAGATTGGTAAGCGAATAATTAACGAGGTCAGAATGTGACTCGAGTAGAATGAATAGAATGGGCTGTCCGAAAGCTAGAATAAGGTATATGGGCTTAGCATAATAACCAACACTACAAAGACTAAAGGACACATTATGTCGAGAATTGGAAGCAAACACGGATAGGATGAATAACAACTGGAAAGGATTGCCCAGGACAGAGTTGAATGGCGAGTGCTTGTGGTCGGCCTATGCACCTGGACGAGGGGTAACAGGTGCGATTAAGTAAGGCTAGTCTTGGAACTGAGCTAAAAACATTCGAATATATCGAATACTTTGAATCACGACTTGACATCAAGAGCCGAATACGAAGAAATTATCTAACACTAGTGTGTCACAAGCATATTGAATATCGCTAGCAAGGCCCATCTGATAGGAATATCTGAAACCTGGATATCTTCTCAGTTCTCGGATCAAGAGTTAGCATTACCTGGGATGACTTTGTTCCGCAACGACAGAAAAATAGGAATTGGGGGCGGAGTAGCCATATACATAAGCTCTTGCTTGGAGGTGCACCAGGTTCACAACCTCGAGTTTAACAATCTTGAGGAATCCATATGGTGCTCTGTAAGGTTGTCTAGTACTTCCAGGTGTCTAGTCGGAGTCATTTACAGGAATCCAACTGCCGACACCGAGTACGATAGTCGTATGCTGGAAGGACTATCCCGCTCTATCCGTCTCGGTTTCACACACATCCTGATTCTAGGGGACTTTAATCTCCCTAGAGTCAACTTCGCGGAACACACGTACACTGGAGGCGACAACTCAACTGAAGCTCGGTTCTTCAACCTCATCGACAACTTGGGCTTATATGAAAATGTGAGGTCGGCAACTCGTTGGAGAAACAGTCAGACACCATCGCGCTTAGACTGTGTATTCACTAACGAAGAATTCCTAGTCGACAACCTCTCAATCCTGGCTCCTCTGGGAAAGAGCGATCATGCCGTCATAGCCTTCAGTTTTGTCATCAAAACTAAGCTAAGGTATCCCAACAATAATTTGCGATGGAATTTTAAACGGCTGAATGTGCGAGCTCTACATGACCATCTACAACAGGTGGCTTGGGATGTTCACCCTCAAATCGATGTGGATGGTCATTGGGACTTCTTGCTGCACACGCTCTTACGTGCTACAGACCATTCAGTTCCTCAAACGGTTCCCAAAAGCTTCAAGCCACCTACAGTAATCAAGAACCGTACCCTTCGCCTCCTAAGCCGCAAACGGCACTGTTGGGCGGAATACAAACGAACTAATAACGATGGAGCGTATAGGCAATACAAACATATCAGGAACACATGCACGAAGGCTATAAGAGAAGACAGGCTTCAGTACCAAACAAAGCTTATGGACAAATTCGCCTCTAACCCTAGAAGCCTATTCCGTTATGCAGCCTCTCTTCGTCAAGCCAAAACAGGAGTTTCTCAACTGCTAGGACCTAACGGCCCGACCAACAACGATGGCGACGCCGCCAACCTTCTGGCGGCCCATTACTCTCAAACATTTCAACCGGCTGATATCAACTTTATCGACGACAGTTTCATCTGCAATTCCACAGGACTTTCTGAAGTGGACCTAAGCGCTGACTTGGTGTTCCGGAAACTGCAGCACTTAAGACTTGACACTTCTCCTGGCCCGGATATGGTTCATCCTGCCATACTGAGGGAGGCAGCCTCAATCCTGGCAACGCCGCTTAGCGTGATGTTTTCACACTCGCTTAGCCGAGGCAAACTACCGGAAAATTGGAAGTTGGCTCACATCACACCAATTTTCAAAGGTGGTCGACGCAATGAACCTTCAAGTTACCGGCCGGTAGCTCTTCTGTCGTTACCTTCAAAACTCATGGAGTCCCTGATATGCGACGGTTTAAATGACTACCTACTGTCCTTAAATTTCTTCTCACCCCAACAGCATGGTTTCAGGAAGGGTTACTCTTGTATAACCAACCTGCTGACTGCGGTGGACAGATGGACAAGCATCCTCGATCGCAAGGGAAAGGTTGATGTCATTTACCTTGATTTCTCAAAAGCTTTTGATAAGGTTAACCACTTGTGTCTTATCAACAAGCTCAAACGACTAGGTATCAAACCACCTCTAATCGACTGGCTTACTTCATACCTAAAAAATCGACACTTTAAGGTTAGGGTTAATTTCACTTTATCTCAAGCTATGGAATGTCCTAGTGGGGTCCCCTAGGGCTCAGTACTAGGGCCTCTTCTCTTCTTGATCTACGTAAATGATCTTCCTCAACAGGTAACATCAGACTTATTACTTTTTGCCGACGACGTGAAACTTTGGAGAGAGATACGCAACCAAGACGATATACAGGCACTTCAAGAGGATCTGACTCGACTTCAAAGTTGGGCAGACGATAACGGACTTACCTTTAACACTTCAAAGTGTAAAGTAGTCCATCTGCGACATGTCGCAAACTACAGTTACAACTTAGGAAACTCCTCTCTAGTAGTATCCCAAGTCGAAAAAGATTTAGGAGTCCTGGTGCCCCATGACTTGAAGTCTTACGCTAACTGTGACAAAAATGCCTTCCGAGCAAACCTTGCACTGGTAACGTTGAGGCGCATTTTTGGCCAGTTTGACGGAAGAACTTTCCACACAATCTTCAATAGTTTCATCCGTCCCCATTTAGAGTACGGAAACATAGTACTCCCCCCCTCACTCCAAAAGGACAAGGTCACTTTGGAGCGTATCCAACGTCGAGCCACGAAATCAGTTCGAGGACTCAAATCTAAGCCTTACGAAGAACGCCTCCGTTCACTAGACCTTTACCCACTAGAATATAGGCGTCTTAGAGGTGATTTATTAATGGCTTATAGTATTCTTAACACTTCTGGACATCCTCTTAAACACCTACTTAAGCTTAGTTCGAATAATAACCTAAGGGGTAACACCCAGAAACTGGAAACACAACATAGCAAGACGGAATGTAGACACAACTTCTACTCCTTAAGAGTTGTCAAAAGCTGGAACTCGCTGCCGGCCGAGCTAGTCCAAGCGACTTCTCAGGAGTCCTTCAAGAGGCAACTTGACCTATTCTTAAGGACCAAGGACAGCATCGCACTATGATTTACCAATTTCTTTTCCTCTTTTATTGTTAACATACCTAGGTTCCTGCCTGGAGGATTTGGTGATCCCCTGCTACTAGACACGGAAGCCTGTTAAGCGAAAGCTTCTTCTATTCCGTCCACAACCATTTGAACCATTTGAACCATTTGAAGTACAAGTTACCGTTCGTTAGCGCCAATCTAGAATTCAAAGTCATAAGTTGTAGTCGACTTCGTCAGGTTCCCCAGAAATGCCTGAAACTGATGCAGGTATGTTTTATAGTGCTTTTATAGTGTTTTTGCCTTGCAACCATTAGTTGGCTCACGGATTCATTGTAAGGTAGTTTCATGTCAGCATACCGCAAGGTATCAGGCATGGATTACGTTCTCTTAACTAATTCACAACATATGTGATGCATATATCATTTAATCACCTTCCTCAAAATGACCAAAACAGACTGGTCAGACTTGCATTTTACTAGTGGGTAGTTACTAAGCCGTATAAACCGGTCTTTTAAAGTAGGAAGTTG